CCTGGTGTAGATGAACAGTGACATACAGGTAAACTATAGGACACGTGGTATTCCTGGTGTAGATGAACAGTGACATACAGGTAAACTATAGGACACGTGGTATTCCTGGTGTAGATGAACAGTGACATACTGGTAAACTATTGGACACGTGGTATTCCTGGTGTAGATAAACAGTGACATCCAGGTAAACTATAGGACACATGGTATTCATGGTGTAGATAAACAGTGACATGCAGGTAAACTATAGGACACGTGGTATTCCTGGTGTAGATGAACAGTGACATACAGGAAAACTATAGGACACGTGGTATTCCTGGTGTAGATAAACAGTGACATACAGGTAAACTATAGGACACGTGGTATTCCTGGTGTAGATGAACAATGACATGCAGGTAAACTATAGGACACGTGGTATTCCTGGTGTAGATGAACAGTGACATACAAGTAAACTATAGGACACGTGGTATTCCTGATGTAGATAAACAGTGACATGCAGGTAAACTATTGGACACGTAGTATTCTTGGTGTAGATGAACAGTGACATGCAGGTAAACTATAGGACACGTGGTATTCCTGGTTTAGATGAACAGTGGCATACAGGTAAACTATAGGACAAGTGGTATTCCTGGTGTAGATGAACAGTGACATACAGTTCATCTACACCAGGAATACCACGTGTCCTATAGTTTACCGGTGACATGCATGTAAACTATAGGACACGTGGTATTCCTGGTGTAGATGAACAGTGACATGCTGGTAAACTATAGGACACATGGTATTCCTGGTTTAAAGGAAGAGTGATGTGTAGGATAAAACTGTCTATATAACAAGAGGTTTGACACAAAACGTTCTTTATTAATAGGATTAATGGTGTGCAGCTGAATTACCCTCTCAGAACAAAGGTTGAGCACATCATAACTATGATTTAGAAAATAATAGCACACGGGTAATCAACCCTGCAAACCAATTGTTTGGATTCATGGTAATCATAATTTAGAAGAAGAATGGCATGCAGGTAAATTACCCCACAGAGCAAGAGATTGGAGGATTTGGCTGGTTGGAAAGTTGTGTGAGAAGAAGTAAGTTTGATAAATACAACGAAGTACTTTTTGTTGTTGTTGTATAATTTCCTCATGCCTTCCAGGTGCAAAGATTAAGATAAACTAAAACTTGAAATTAAAGTATGGAACCCCATGGTTGATATACACAATAACGTAACGCCACAGTACATCTCACAATTTAGATTCTCACCATAACTGACAAATTGCAAATACGAGTGCAAGAATCAGAAATTATCTCTTGCTGCGTGTGATGGTCTTAAAGTAGGACACCATGAAACAGTAGTTAAGTGACTGGAACAGCTACAGAAAGTAATACATCATGCTCAATTTAACACATAATAATGACTGGATGTTCCAAATTAAAATATTAAAAAAAAGTTAAAAGTTTTGTACGTACGATCTGACTTAATACATTGTTGAAGAAAAATCAACTAATGCTAAACAGAATCTGTGCTCATTAAAGTTATGATGCTTATCGAACTGTTTGCTCGAAAATTATACACAATAAGTAAATTAGTGTCACCTAGAAAGGAAAAAAAATTGCAACAGTGAAGTCATTGGTAATATGGTTGAGCATGAGCAAAATAATACAGTTAGCACAGAGCTGTTGTGTAGCTTTGCACAATTATCTAAAGGAAGCAAACTTACTCAATTCCTATAGATAGCAATAAATAAAACATTGGTAACATTAAAAAATAGGCTGATTTGAAAATAATTCACATTATAATTATCATAATATTTGAAACTCATATTAACAAAAACATTTCAGTCTATGTGGTATCTTTGTAATGATAGAAATAGTCATGAATTCCATCCTTCTATAACTAATTTGATGTATTAAGTATATACATGTATTTTTCTAAATTTGTGTGCAGATTTTCTGCATATTATTTTGACATTTTCTTAACTGAATGTTGAACGACCATAAAGATTTGCTATTCCTTTTACTCGGATAATACTTTTCTATACCAGAGGCTAGAAACTCGTGTATGAGACCATCTCAAGGGCTGTTGCAGATACCTATACAAAGTGGTATGAGTTAAGGGTTTTTATCCATAGAAATGTTGTTTGGAACAATTGGTGTGACATGCGGCATTAGATTCTGGTATACTGCACTTCAGTGGTTTTTTTTCTTAATTTTGGTACTAAATCAGAGTTCTGTTTGTTCTTGTCCCGTGTAGATGTAAAATAATTTTGCTGGTGTTGAGTGGATGTATATAGAATTCTGCTTGTCCTCATCTAGAGTAAACATTTAAAAGAAAGCCTCTCACCCAAGCAGCCAGTATATTCACTAAAGAATAAGGAAGTCAACCTGTTTAATAAATTGACAATAAAAATGTGTTTTACTTATTCACTTGTGTTTCTTTCCGTTGCTCTCCGAGTTCACAATTATTCTTTGCAACATATACTCACATTCTCAGATGCACTGATAACCTTAGAGTTAAGAATAGTACCACAATAGCTTGAGGATTGTCAGAAATTGTATATTAGAGCTTAATCTGAATTCTTTGATTGTCTGCTTTGGCCAATCACAACGTAAAAGCAAAGTGAAAAGTAATCTTTATTAACAAAAACAGGCAGATAAGTGCACTTAACAATATAACAGTGGTTCATTGGAAATCTCTCTACTGTAAAATGATCACTTGTAGCTAAAGAATTTTACTCATTCCAGGCGAAGAGTGCACAACATTATATACAAGATTCTATAATGGCATTCCTTTCACTGCACATACAATCATTGATGGTCATATTAACAGAAATAAGGGAGGATAAATCCTCAAAGACAACTTAACCTTTCACTCTCCTTTACATGCTGTGTTTTACTATACAAAACTCTTTCCCATAAGAAAGTGAACGTGACAACATGGGGAAATGTTCCAGAACAACAGGTGTCTTAGAGTGAAAGGTAGTTAACCGTATCATTGACCAGTGTTTGAAATATGGGTGGGATGTTAAAGCTTCCCTGTAAGAGACAAGAGTTCTCTGTGAACAGTTATAATTCAAAACTTTGTTTGGTCTTTGTATTATTCTAATATTATGTTGGAGTTGCCAGTGTTTTTGGTTTAAACTGTTGTTACATGTTTGTAATGGTAAACAAATGGAACCTGTGACCAATCCTACCTGTCAGTCATAAATCTTTCTAGCTGTGCAAAAAGCCATTTACATCACTATAAAATCTTTTCAAACTTAAAGCACGATATTTCAAATAAAGGACAGTAACTTAAGTAGAAACATCAAACTCCACAATAAGATATTCTGTGGTCACGACATCAAATGTTTCTCTTTCCTATCCACTCTGTGGTATATTCGGGTCAAACTGATTTTACTAAAGATCAATAGGATAGGTCCGCAGAATAATAGAAGATTCAGTCAGGGTATTTATTCTGAAATAATACTCAATATCCAAATAACTGAGCTGTGAAAACAAAATGAAAAAGCTGTGCGCAAAGTAAAATATGAAATGGACAATCTATATTAAAACTATATACACACACAGTGTGTGTATGAACTTGATTTAGTTGTTTAATTGTCACTTTTACTTGATCTTCCTTTAGATTACTTACTCTTCAAGGTTCTGGGACAGATTGTTTAAATTCAATGTAGCACACTATACAAAAACGTAGTACTTACCCAGAGGGACTAGCGTTAAACATGTGGCTGGTCATCCTCCATTAAACAGAGGTGAGGCCGTAACCTCGAAACACCGCTTTTTCAACCACTAGAGGACATTGACGTGAACATTATTGTACAACATGCAATATTACAGTGAGATAACATCTAACATGCTCGCCCTTTCAGCCGTGGGGCGTTATGATGTGATGGTCAATCACACTATTCGTTGGTAAAAGAGTTGGCGGTGGGTGGTGATGACTAGCTGCCTTCGCTCTAGCCTTACACTGCTAAATTAGGGACGGCTAGCGCACATAGCCCTCGTGTAGCTTTACGCGAAATTCATAATAAATCATCTATGAGCACAAGTATTCTTTTCTAGAGAAGGAAAAAAGGCAGCTAGAACGAGATGGAATTTTCTCGATTACGTGTTATGTGAAACCTTCATATATGCAAAATAAAAGATAGATACTATTACAACACAATGAGATAGAAATGCGTGGTATTGTTATGTCTCTGTTCGTTAGTTAATTTTCTGTAAATTCGTTCTGACGAAACTTTAGCGTCACAAGTCCTTTCTTAAATAAAACTGGTTTATTCTTTCTGAATATAACTTTGCGATACACTTAATTTCAACAGTCGCGCTATAACAACGAACGTCTCACGTGCTCAACTTCAATAATACTCAGTTCAATTACACACTCTCTGACTGCAGTTCAATTACTCATTGTTCCGTCACGTTGTGACCATCTTATATATACCAGACTACCCCCAATCTAGTAGTCTCCCGATAATTCACGAAGGTTCGAGAAGGACGTGGCGTGATACTAGTCACGTGACCTCGCTGACGCAACAGTATATTTATATACCACACTTCTTATTTATTTGATCTTACCAAGATTGATACTTCTATCATTTCTATTTCGTGCCGAAAGGAATAAAATCGTTAAAACTGAAATTAATTTGTATTTTGTTGCTCTGCATTTTAGTAGACAAATGTTCTAACTGGCACGCACACAGGTAAACGATTCGGGAGGGACTATCCTCAGTGGCAGATCTGGGATGGATACAGAAGGCCGGATTAGTAGCGAGATCCAAAAACAGTAGCTCCTGGAAGTAAAGTCCCAGAGGGTCTGCAGATGGTGCCTCCGAATCTATGCAGAGTTTGAAGCGAATGAGCATGAATAAGGCATACTAAAAACAAAATACATGGGCAAAAACAGTATAACAAGCGACCATGACACAGTATGAGTGTGAATGGTGGATTGGCCAGTTGATACCAAAGAATATCGATATTACAGTGAGGACGGTACCAGTTAGTTGATAAAAATAGCCTCTCTGAGATAAAGAAATTATTATATAGAAATATTTTAAAAACAGTACTCAATTAGAATTAGGTTTTAATTTGATATAGTTTTTTCCATATAAATCCATCATGCAACTCACAAAATGTGTTTTGACATATTGCACCAATCAAATGCTATTGAAAGAGATGAGTCTTTGTTTGTAATTAAGCACAAAGCTACACAATGGGCTATCTGGGCTCTGCCCACCATGGGTATCGAAATCCGGTTTCTAGCTTGTAAGTTCGCAGACATCCCGCTGTGCACTGGGGGGAGGGAGGCAAAAGAGATGGAGTCATTTACAGTTATCTTGAAATTTTTATCTATTTTGAAATTCATGGAACTTACTTAAATCCGCTCTGTTTATCATCTAAAATATTATTTAAGATTAAAAACCGTTCGCTGTACACCTTAACTTACATTAACAAACACAGTAGTTGACAAATTCTGAAACTATATTTGAAAATTAAATAAGTTGTGTTTAAATTTATATTAAAAATATTTCTACCTAAGAAAATGAAATATTTAAAAATGTAATATTTTACTTATTTGTTTATTTTAATTTAATTAATAAAATTGGTAACATTAATAAATAAAATTTACTATTTTAAAATTAAATAGTTGTTTATTCAGATCAAGTTACTTTTCTTTGGCTATGTTACGTCTCTGTATGTTTGTTTGTTAATTCTTCTAAGATACAAGTCCTTTCTTTATAAACCTTGTTTATTCTTCCTC